TACCCTCTGACCACCACCAGTAGGCAACAGGTGAAGTGTCTTGCTCAAGGACACAACTACCGAGACTGTCCAAGCCGGGGCTCGAACCGGCAGCCTTCCGATTACAAGGCAAACTCCCAACTCTTGAGCCACGATGGTAAGGCTCAAAAAATGTTAATATGAATCCCAGGAAAAGGTCCTCTCTGTAATATTCTAAAATTTATTATAACTGTAACAATCTGTCAGTGTGTGCAATAAAGAGCCTGGAAGTCATTTCTGCTGTGAGTCCTCTCTCTATACAATAGAGCTGTTGAAAGATGGCGAGGCAGCAGAGGGAGAAAGTGCCTCTACGCTCAGATATTGACTGATGTTCTCTGCAGTGTTAAACACAATAATCTGCTGCCGTGTTTTTCCTAATACAGCATGTATTAAAAGTCAGAAATAGCTCATGGAACAGAATATTTACTTGATGTGCAGCACTCTGACAAACTACTGAAAAGCCTTGCTGCAGAGGAGCTAAGAGAGCTCACAGCATCTGCTGTGTGTGTGTGTGTAGTAGGCACAGCAATTGGATAAATGGGTCTTATTTTCTCACTCCACTCCGCTCTACGTCTGCTGAGTCAATAAACCAAAAGACTGCAAACTGCTAGAAGAGCCAGACTTAACACACTCAGCTCTTTATTAGAGCTAGAGCTCTCTGCAGGACTCCAAGTCAGACCCTCACAGGGAGCCTGGCACCCTGGAACCCCATCAAACAATTTTGAGACACCCCAGAGGTCTGCTGCTGATCATTCAGAATAATCACAGCTAAAGTGAAAATACCACCGGTACTGCTGTCCAAAGTAAAGATGAAACACTGATACCTGACATTTTTTTCCAAGTTAACCCTTTAAGACCTACCATAGAACCAAGTCCGCCAGAGCTTATATTATATTTTTACATGCTGTGGAGCCATTTTTGGGAGCATTTCAAGTTGCTATACATCAATACAACCATTACAGCCTAAATTTTAATAATATGTCTGCATTAGGTGCATAGTAATTACATAAATTGCAAAAAAGTGCAATAAACTACAAAAAAATTGAAAATAGTTTTTGTTTTTTTAACATATATTTCTAGTTAGAGAAATTTAAGAGGCTCATCCCTCAAAACTGTAAATACAAAAAAGTTGCACAAACTAGTTTCCCACCACAGGAAATTTATTTTGAGTGTCTTCATAGTTTTATTTTTGAAATACACCAATTTTTATACACTGCAGGAAAAACAAAAATAAATATTATAGTGCAAATTTGCAAAATAACAGCATATGCATCAAAATAAACTATTTCCAGCAGTGCAATATGAGTCCTAAGCATCCCAGAAACGACACAGAAAGTCATAAACTCAAACATAACTTTTTAAAACACAAGTATAGGCTCATAAGGCCCCGATCGTAAAAAAAACTACATTTCCGCAAAATGACGTCACTTCCGGTTTCGGGCAGGTCATGCGGTCATGTGATAGTTCGCGCTGATGGACGTAGGAAGTGTTACAAACAGCTGATCGGAGCGTGTTTCTGGAATATCATGTTTTTGTTGCTGCAAGTGATTTTTATGCAGTTTTTGCAAAGCTATATGTGGAAGGAAACTGTGACCTAGGACAAGCTGATGGCATCAGATGTAAGTACAACTCCTCCGGTTTCATATGCAAAAAAAATTATTGCGCTAGCTTACATGGTTGCAGAGCTACCGGGATTTAAAAATAGTTACGCAAAATGGAGCGTGCCCGCTCCGATCGGCTGTAAAGGGTTAAACTAAGTATCCGAAATCTAAAGTGTTTGGAATCAGAAGGAACATTTAACACTCAAGGACTGCAAATTGTTCAAGGTTTTCGTCGGTTGAATTGATAGCAATTTGAACAAACCTGACAAAACATGCAAACAAACAAAAATGCAGCACAAAGATGGAATTTAGTGTTCTGAAAGAGATTTATGAAGTTCACAGTATGCCTCCAAAACAACATATTAAATCTGCTTAACGTTGTTATTTTGCTTTTCCTCCCTGTTACAATGTGCGCGCAGGGGGAGTGTAATTTATTGCCCAAATGCAGATGTTTTCCCACTGAGAAGCAACCTGATTGATCTGATAGCATCTGCCAGTTTCCAGTGAAGGCCTATGTTTAGATGAGAGCTGCTCATTGCTGAAAGGATCACCAGGGCTACACAAAGCATCAGATGTGCCAACAATGCCTGTTATGCTGTGCTCTGTTTTTGTACATTAAAATAAAGCAAAAGGGAGACATGCTGGTGACACGAGGATCAGGCAAATACAAAGCTGCAGCTGTCCACGTGAAGATCAAATGTCCATGTGAGAGAGGAAGAAACCTTTCATTGAGCAAGTTGCTTTGTCACCAGTCTCATTGTTCTCAAGCTTGTTACAATTTTCTGTTCTTCTACACTTTAGACAACAACTTAGGAGACGAGCACTCCACCAAAACTCTGGAAAAGGCCTGTGAGAAAGTTCTATAGCTCAGTCCTCGCTGAAATATTCCCCTTATCAGACTCCTTGAGAAGTTTTTCACAGACACTCCGTCTGAAAGGATGAAACCAACTGACTTCAGTGAGCTGTGACTTCTCTTTCAGAGTTATAATGAGCTGCAGTTGTACTGATATCTTGAGTAAACCACTGACTGGCCAGAATGACATAATGTATGTTGTTCTCAGCTGACTGCAGGTTTTATGTGCAACAAGTTAAAAACATTTGAAACATGGAAAAAAAAAAACTATCTGCAATACACCATCAACTGCACTTTGATTTTAGTACAAATGACAAATGCTAACCCACTCAATAAGAATCAGTGTAAATAGAAACCATGAGGCATGTGAGGCCACATTCACACAGGCCCAGAGACTAATCAGCCAGAGAACAGAGCAACCTCTGGTCGCTGAGGAACAATGTGTGTCCTCTGACAAGTTGCTAAAGGTTGTTGGAGGTAGCTGTGGAACTGGTTTTTAAACCCCATTCGATAGGTCTAGAGCCTGGTTAGTGACCTGTGGTTACTAGGGTTACTAAGTGTACTCTGCAACTGGCTGGCATGTGGTTGCTGGAGGTTGCTGGTAGCCACTAGAGTGTAAAGAGGTATATGGTGCTGAATCAAAAACCGGCTCAGCTCACCAAGCAGAAAGTTTGAAAAATGCAACGCAAACTAAAACAGAAAGTTTGCCTACAAAGTTAAAGTTGCACCCAAGCCCCAGTGTTTTCTCTTTGTGTTGGTTGCAGTGTTAAGGCCCAACATTTTCTCTGCAGGTGATTGTTCTCAACATTCATAAAGCTAAATGCTCCATTCCTGCAGACACCTGGAAATTTCATGGAGGTTGCAGACGTAACTGTTGCAATCTGCTGACGAAAGCAAATACAGGGAGGTTTTGGTGCATTGGAGGAAACCTCCAGCAACCACTCGCCAACTATTCAGGGAATATGGATTTTTCTCTAGCAAGCCGAGTTTGCAAGGGGGTCACTGACCAGCCTCATTTGAGCCACTGTTTGTTCCAAACACAGATGTGTTAGCATGGCTACAGACTTTGCAGCCTAGTCTGATGGCAAGGCGAGAAATAATCACAAAATTGCTACAAATAAAGAGGTTTTTTTTTTTCTTTAAAGTTTGGACAACTTTAGTTTTAAAACTAAAAGACACACTTTTGTGCCTGTACCACTTAGGTTCTAATGAGTAAAAATATAAATAAGTCCTGAGTGTCTGAAGGCAGTTTCTATTGAAACTCCTGTCTGAAAGCACAGGGACAGCTGTGACTTGCGATTCATTGGGACATAAAGATTGCATGGTCATGGCTTTCTATCCAGGCACAGGACTCAATATATTACATCTTGCAAGCATTTCACAAACTGCTGTGAAATATATTTTTTTGTACTATTTTATCTGTTTCCATCAGCTTTTTCACACGTATTTTGACAGTTGTGTGACGGTCAAAATACGTGTGAAACACTGCAGGAAATAATCAGCAGTAACCGTTTGCAGCAGTTGGAAAAGTTATCAGTGAGGTGCTTTTTGTTTTGTTTCTTTCTTAGAGAAAATGAGCAGTGACATGTTCATACATTAAACACAGAAGCCGGAACACTAATCTTATTTCCAGAAGTTAAAACAGAAAGTCGCAGTAAAAGACGGGAACTGCAGCAGTGTGATTGACATGGACAGATGTCAGCTCCCTGATATATATTTTTTTGCAGGGGGGATAAAAACTTGATGAAATGATGAGCTTCCAGCACCAACATCACACTTTTTAGTTCATGGAAAGAAGCAGCAGATTCAAGCTTCAAGGTATGTTGTGAAGAAGAACCCAGACTTACGTCAGATGCCATCATCCTCACTGACGTGCTTCAGAGCTGCACTCCTTCCAGCTGGAGGCTATGAGCCTCTCAGTCGTTATACTTCTCAGTGCAGCACTTGAATTGACCTCCAACAACATTTTAATGGCCTCCTTTAACACAGAGGAGATCCCACCAAGGCCTGTTTTCTAACATCTGATTGCTACATAGAAGCAATCAGGCTTGATTTGCCGCCAACGGGAAACACATGGTCTGTTTTATTGCAGAGAAAACGTACACGGTGCCAGCTGAGCGTGAGTGGCTGCAGCTTATGGAGGAAAGCTGAAACCAGATGATAATGACTCAACTTACTTATCTGCGGGAATGAAGGCTTTTAAGCCAGACCGATAACAACCACCTACTGCATTGGTGACAATGCAAACAAAGTCAGTATGATTTTTACAGCAAGCATAAAAATCCTGAAGGGACGATGGAGGGAAAACACTGGAAAGCACAAACTATGAAGACACAATATGGCAACATTAATGAGGCGGAAGGAGATTGGGAACAAAAACCACATTTATGCACCTATAGTCCTATGGTGAAGTTGTTTAATATATTAGTTTGAGCCACTCGAAGAACTAAAAGTGTGCGCACAGTAAAACAGTCCTTTGTTAGAGCTCGAATGTACACAAACACACACAAGCACACACTGATGTTTACCTGACTTTCCCACCCCGGCTCTGCCGAAGACGGCCAGCTTCACCTCCGGGCTTTTGGCCATGACAGCAGCTGTGACGAGAGAAGCTCAGCGAGCCAGTCAGTGATCTCCGAGGTCAGCCCCAAACATCCTCCATCCAGGAAGCAGCTTCTGAGGAGACGAGGTAATGCGTCTACGTTTAGCTCCACGAAACATTCACGAAACATTTCCACCATCAGAAGTGAGTCACAGAGAACGTGTTCAAGGAAGCAAGCAGAAGTAGCAGACTATGACTGAATGTGATGAAAAGGAAATAAATAGTTTTAGCAAATAAAATGAAATAATTCATACCTCAGTGTCACATCACTAGTTGCAAATAAATATAAAAACCTGATTTTATGTGGACAAGGTTGCATAGACAACATGAAGACTGTGATGCTAGCAGCTCTTTTAAGAAGATGGCCACAAATTCAGGACCAAAGCATTTTCTCTCTTCCTTTTTTTTGTGTGCAATTTTTGGTACTGAAAGGATCAAGTTCAGTCTAAAAATGAGTTCATTGTGTACAGGTTAAAGAAAATATCAGTAGAAAGGCTGATTCACTTACTCAAGAAATGAATGAAACGATGTGAAAACATGTCAGCTCTCAGTGGAAAAGAATCATGCCAGATTTCTACACTGATATGGACTTTGTAATGTGTTAGAAATGAAAAGATGCCACATCGTTTGATGGAAATGAAAATGATCAACATGCAGAGAGAGGGCTGAATTCAAAAGTCAAAGTGAAAGTGAAAAAAAGGAGAATACCAGGAAAGGAGATACCAGCTTTAAAACACTTTATTAATCCATCAGCAGTCACTGAGGATGAAATGCACACTGCAACCTTCCTGCAGCTGTCATCTGTCTATGGAGCTTTAATCATCTGAAGGTGATGGCCCTCACACACCTCTCACTGTACCTCCACAGGAGAGAACCGATACAAATCACAAACCCACAAATCAGTGAGTTTTCCATTTCCAACAACATAGTGAAGTGAATGTTGGACAGTCATGTCCATCTTTTTTTAGGCTGTTGATCTACCCAGGCTATGGTTTTTTATGTTGGTGCATGAAAAATGTGAAGTGAAAAAGACAGGAGAGAGAGGGGGAGAACACCGAGATCTGAAATCATCCATTCAAAAAGAAAACACCAGTACAGCCAGATGAAACAGCCACACGCCCGTCTGTTTAATAAGAAAACAAGCAGCTGTGGCGCTGTCTCTCCTGGTAATTGACTCTAAACTTCTGGCCTGATCACTCTGTTTTTCTCCTGGATTCCACTCGGACCTTTAACCTGAGAACAAACAGATACTGACAAGGCTTTAATTCAAATCTTATCTTGATGACTTCACAGCAATCCTGGGACAAACTAGCTGGAGACTGCTGCGTTTCCCATTAGCACCAGTGCTGACAGAGAGAATGTAACACCCCAGGTCTATGTGGGGAGTCATGCTGTGTTTGGCTGGGCAGCTGCAGCTAAAGATAATTTTCATTTTTTTCTCACTGCGCTGCAGTTTAGCGACGATATGTGCAGAAAAACATACAGCTTAGTCACAAATCTACTTAGGAAGCAAAGTTGTCGACATTATCTGTTTGCAAATCCTTTATTCTAATGTGCTGCAGTGCAGAGGTGCAGCTTGTCAACCACAAGCCACAGTTAAAGGTGCAGTAGGTGGGAAGGGGCTACCTTTATTTTTCAGCCTGTCGGTCTTTGGACACTTCAACACATGGACGCTGAAGTAATCACTATTTCTGTATACCTGCCACCCGTGCAATGATACTCAAAGTAAGATCTTGGCTTGCTGTAGGAACCAAGATCTCCAGCTCTCACAGTCACCTGATGCCAGTGATCAGGAGGAGTGACGCCTCAGTTAATCCTGCTGTGTGTTAGTCAGCTTTGATACAACATGAGGTGAAAAAACTCTGGCAAGTGACAGTCTCCCCAGTTACTCAAAGGTCAGACTGTGCCATGCTCAGAGAAAGTGTAATAAGCCAAGAGCTACATCTCAGACTCTACGGGCCTCAGTCAGCATGTTGAATGTTAAAGTCCATGACAGTAGAATTAGAAAAACACTGAGCAAGTGTGGCTTTTTTGGAAGGTTTTACGGAACATGGGGTCAGAACATGTCAACACAGCTTAGGTTTGCAAAGTTCGATCTGAACAAATCATAAGACTTATGGATCAGTGGCATTTGGACACATGAAACTAAAGTGGCAATAATTCAATTCAATTTTATTTATACAGCGTGAAATCACAGCAACAATCACCTCAAGGCGCTTTATATTGTAAGATAGACGCTACAATAATACATAAAGAGAAAAACCCAACAATTATATGACCCCCTATGAGCAAACACTTTGGCGACAGTGGGAAGGAAAAACTCCCTTTTAACAGGAAGAAACCTCCGGCAGAACCAGGCTCAGGGAGGGGCGGGGCCATCTGCTGCGACAGGTTGGGGTGAGAGAAGGAAGACTGGATAAAGACATGCTGTGGAAGAGAGACAGAGGTTAATAACAGATATGATTCAATGCAGAGAGGTCTGTTAACACATAGTGAGTGAGAAAGGTGACTGGAAAGGAAAAACTCAATGCATCATGGAATCCCCGGCAGCCTATGTCTATTGCAACATAACTAAGGGAGGATTCAGGGTCACCTGGTCCAGCCCTAACTATATGCTTTAGGAAAAAGGAAAGTTTGAAGCCTAATCTTGAAAGTAGAGATAGTGTCTGTCTCCTGAATCCAAACTGGAAGCTGGTTCCACCGAAGAGGGGCCTGAAAACTGAAGGCTCTGCCTCCCATTCTACTTTTAAATACTCTAGGAACAACAAGTAGGCCTGCAGTGCGAGAGCGAAGTGCTCTAATAGGGTGATATGGTACTATAAGGTACTGTAATAATATTGCACAGCTCCACAATTAGCAAGAAACACAAAGATCTCATGCCAGGTGTCCAGCACGGTGGTGGAGGGGTGATGATTTGAGCTTGTTCTGCACCTACAAGACCTGGGCACCTTGCAGTCCCCGAGCCACCCACGAACTCCTCCGTACACCAAGTATACGAGAGTCAAATGTGTGGCCAACAGCTAAACCCCGGATCATGCAATACGACAATGATCCCAAGCAGAGCAGCAAATCTACAACAGAATGATGTTGAACAGGCAGATGTCAAGAGACAACAGTAATTTGTTCTGTGAATTATTTTTAAATGTACACTCTAATTTAACACCACATAACTTTGCCGTTCAATAATTAAGACAGCCATTTATAGCGTGCTGAAGTTTGTCAGCCAAGTTTTTGAACAGATTTATCGTCAGTCACCGTTGTGTACATTACATGAAGCACAGACGATCCGTCTGGACTTCTCGCTCTTTGTTGGCTGAAATGAACTACAGCAGGAAAATGAGAGAAAGCTGAAACCGGATCACACGTTCGTGTGCCCAGTTAAATAAAAGCTGTGCTTGGTTAATATGTTGCTGGCACTGACACACACCCAACTTCACACTGGCTGAAATTATTAAGTGGCCAGCATCCAGTTTTCTTCTCCTTTACTCCAGGCAGACGCTTAAACACACACATATGTTTTAAACTAACCTTTTCCCCTTCATAGCAACACACATATGTCTATATATGGTGTGACAGCGTGCCGCTCCGTGTGACCCAAGTGGAGATCGATCATCTGTCTACGTCTCCTACTCGGCGGGTGGTGTCACGGCAGCTGCCAGCATCTTTAAATATTTGTTTCGGTCATTGCTGATGTGGCTCCGATAACCAAACAGCACAGTCAAAGCAGTGAGCAAAACCGCTGCTGTAATAGCAATAATGACGTTGTGTTCTGTCCTCCCAGCTAAGTTTGTGGTGTTTGGCAGTTTCGAGGACAAAGATGAATGACTGAGTTTAACCCTGAGTGGCATTCTCCCACTGTTCAAGTTTGAAATGTGTCATTACATCTCCAACCAATATTAATATCACTGCCTCGGTGATGCAACCTTTATTTCCTGAGTACTTAGAATGAATGAAACTGCCACATTTACACAGTCATTAAGGCTGGGTCTAAAATCAAGTCACAGACTGCCATGTCTTTAAGACAGAGGAAGCATGTTTACAACCTGGTTTAAAACAAACAGTATAGGGGTACATTTTTCACATGACCCACCCAATTAAATGCTATTAAGGCTTAAAGTTCTGATTAAGTGTGTGGCTGCTTTTAGAGACAGGCCAGTTCATCTTGTTTAGTCTTTGTTTTAAAGGACACTCTGAGCAGTTGGCTGGTTAGTTGCTCCAGTAAACAACGTGTCGACACAGCACTCACATCAAGGCTTTCAAACGGGACTTGACAAACCAGTGGGTGACACCACTGTAGCAACATCCATCTGTTTTGCCATCTATGTTGATAACGTGGTCGTCCTATGTATAGTAAATGGTGGAACCACAGTCTCTCCCCTCTGTCTATCCAACGCGGTAAGAAGCAAAAACATGGCATTGAAGACGAGCGATCTAACCGAGGTTTTTTTTGTGAAACTGACAGCACGTACGCTTATCAGTGTAATCACAATCAAACGGCACTTAGATCCCACCTGTTAAACAAGCTCTGTAGAATATCAGATATGAAATAACACTAGAAACTTATTTTGGCTACTCTGTTGCTCACAGGGTTTTACATAGTTCCACATATTTAAGTTGGGAGACTTTTTACAGTCCCATCCTGATCTCGCAGCAGGGATCTTTTGCATATTAGGTAAACACTATGATATGGAGCCATCAGATATGAAATGATACTAACAACCAAAAACAACTGCTGTCTGTTTACAGACTCCTTGCTTCCTTAGTTTGCTGTGTACCATAATATACCACTCAAACACAGACATTTTTCCCATGGAGAGACTCACAAACCTCTACATGCTGTGCAACCACACCCTGCAGCGCAATGGCTGCCATTAGTTATCAGAATAAAACTCTTGGACCCGTTGTCAGAGCCCATGCTGGTGCAGTGGGTCCTGGATTCCTCGTGGTGCGCAACAATGCCCAGCTTCGTGTTCCTAGAGCAGAGGTAGGCAACTCCAGGCCTCGAGTGCCGGGGTCCTGCAGGTTTTAGATGTGTCCTTGATCCAGTACAGCTGATTCATCTTGATGCATTCTC